CAATAGCTATAATGAATACCACCTTTGGAGATTCTGAGCAACATTAGTCACGAATCTTTAGTTTTGTTCTTCTCCAGCCACATGGCAGGAATTCAGAAGGGTGGAGTCCCCTTCCCTCTGGAAGTATCTGATAAAATTTTACCCATTCCCTCCTCCAGATGCTTTTTCCTTTTCCACATGGGCCTAGACAGGATATGGGTGTGGGCTTTACACTCACGAATGACACAAAGAAAAGACTGAGGAGAATGTGAGAAGGAGAGAAGTTGACAACTTAAAACATTACAACACCTGGTTAAGCCAACTCCTTGCTCATTTACTCTACTCAAATGTAATAGCTGAAGTGCCTACAATATCAATGTGTTATTTTTTAAAATGGATTGCATATGATGTGAACATCTGAGTTTTGTCATCTTTCAAACTTCAAAAACCAGTTTTAAAAACCCCACACCACAGTTCATTATTGCTGAATATTCTATTTCAGTTCAGATCAAGTAATTTAACCTTAAAATGTAATTAGGATTTGAATTAAATCAGATATAATCCCTATTATAACCTATCCTTTTCCAAGTTTCCTACACCAATCTAGGTTGTATATATTGGAAATAAAATGAACATAAAAGTGCTAAAATTAAATTTAGCATTGCTATGGTATAATTTCTGGGGATTTCAGATTCAGATTATTCCCATTCTATTAGTCCTCTTGAAAACTTTTTGAAATATCTTTTTACTAATATTACTAATTCATGTTAAGTATCATTTATGAGGCCCACAATAATCTCATAAGAATATCATAACCCCCCTGTAAATAGTTATCTTCAATATTAATATATTTTCTAAATAATTTAATTTACAGTACTTGCTCTGAGTGCAATATTCTCATTCCAAAGAGCTGTCCCCAAATATAACAATTTTTTGCTATCAATTTGTATCATTGACCAATGGAAGCTAAATGAAGTTCAGTTCAATCTTCAAAAACTGGTATTTTTGTCTGTGATACTATCATACAACACTCTATGCTCACAGTTTTCTTTTTGTTTTGTTACCATTATTCCCATTTAAGAGGATTTGTTTGTTATATTAAAACATTCTTTTTGAATGCAATATTTGGCAAATGTATTAATTACTAGGTAATTGGGCTTATAGGCTTATAGGCACTTTCAGCTCCCTAGCAAAGATAAAACATAATACATTGGATGCATATGTTTGGTTTCCTCCTTTAGATTTTTACAATGCAAATAAAAAAAATTAGAAAGTTAACATATCATATGTGAAGTAACTATTAAAGAAATATACACACATCAATATGATATTTTAGCAATATGTTACATAAGGGCATCATAGTTTACAATAACAGCTTTGAGGTTCCCTAAATTAAAATGGTTTTACAGTATATGCTGTCTTGATGAAAAGGGAAGCTGTCTGTCTATATAGATCTGATTCTGAGCAATGTACTTTGCCAGTGTGAAGTGATAATCTTATAGTTTTATAATAGTAGTCTCCTAAATCTTTGTAGATACAAAGCAAAGTATCATTTGATGACGATGAAAAAGCAAAGAAGCAGGAGAAACAAATGACTTAAATAAATCCCAACACATAAGTTACCTCCTTTCTATGAAGAAACATTAAAAAATTATCCAGATTTTTCTGTTTGCTGTGGAAAACAAGAAAAAAGAAAATGTGCAATGATAAACATTTGTCTTGTTATATGAGCAAAACAAGCAAATAAATAAATAAAGTTGAAGTTGATTAAGTTAATTTTTGATTAAATATTTTTGATTAAATAATTGGGGAACACTTCCCCAGTGCAAAATGTAGAAGTGCACAATTCTCTTTTGCCCTTTAGATTTAACCCAGCAAATTGGCAATGTGACCATGGTCAAGACAATTGAGTCTGAAACCTGATAAGGGAAAGTTAAAATGAAACATTAAATGACTGTGACTGTTAAATGTTTATCTTTTCAGCCACATGTAAATTAGATTATGTTTCTTTTCTAAAGTTGCTTCAGCAGGTCAGGTCTCTTTAGCTCTTTAACTCTTCAACCTTTTAACTCTTCTTGATTATGATTCAAAAGAAAATACATTCCCACATTCCAGTTTCTATGTGTTATTTGTACACTTGTGCATTTAAATCATTCAGGTTTTTCAGTAAGAATAGACATCTCTTTAAAAAAGAAAAAGAAAGAATGGGTACAACCAAACCTTTCTGAGAAATTGTCCTCTGGATTTTTCATTTTGCTTAGAGATCTTTCTCTTCTGATTTTTCTTAAGAAATGAGGATCTTAAGCTTCTAATAAACTCCAAGGAATAGTGCCATGGCAATTTAAATAAAGCCTCCTAGTCAATTACTTATTTTGCTTTTTGCTACATTCATGGAATTTAATGAAGAGATTTGGCTTACTCCTAACTCTAATAAAATACTGAATTTACATGCTATTTAGAGAGAGGGGGAGAGGGAGGGAGGGAGGGAGGGAGAGAGATTAGTATTATAAAGATAGTGGGAAAGAATTCAAGAATCCACAAATGCACAATCATCTCCTTAAAATGACTGCCAAGTATAAACAAATTCCAAAACCCAAACTTCTCATGCATCTCCGAAATGGTAAACAGTCAACGCCATTTTTTGGAAGACTTTGCTCTCTTGGACCCAATTCAATGCTCAGTTACATGGCCAATGGCCTTGGATACATTTTCTTTCAAGATGCATCTCAATCTTTCAGAAGAACATGAATAAAAATTATGAGGCAGATTGAAATATATATCCACATAGTCATTTTGCTGCATATTGGCTACATATTGCAAAACCAATTCCGTGTTTTTCTAATTTCTGGTTAAGGGCCTGTCTATGGATTGAAACCTGCACTTGGACAACTGGGAAGTTGCTCTTCCAGTAACATGAGAACTTTCAAAACTGTTAATAAAGTACTTGAAGATACTGCTTAGAAATAAAAACACACACACAGAGAGACCATGATTACCGTGATTATCTGAGAATTAATTAGGAGGCAGTTTTCCTATGTGATAACTAAAAAAGGATTCAAGTTATTATTTGAATGTCATGTTCAGATATCCCAAAGGATTCAAGTTATAATTTGAATGTCACGTTCAGATATCACATCCTTCCCAGGCATGATCAGGTTTTTATAGTTGCAAATCAGGGCACAAAGGGCTCAAAATAATACAGTCTACTCATCCCGGGGTTATTTACAGGCCAGATATTGTCCTTACCACCCCCACTATGTTATGAATATTGACTAAGAGCTGATTATCTACATCCACTAAAACAGCAATGCATAGCTGTATTTTTTTTATAAAGAATTTTATTTACACAATGTCTGCTACTGCAGAAAGAACTTGTAAGTTCTTTATATGATAGATAACATTGTTCTACCAATATAGAATGCATTCTATTCTATGTAATAATAGGCATTTGTCTCCAGAAACATTGTGGATAGTTATTAGGGAATGTGGACAACGTGCAAGTTCCCAGCAGGTGTCTAATATATATTTCTTGGCATTTGGACAAGCAAACAGAATCAAACATGTCAACTGAAAGCAATTGGGGATCCTTTGGGGAGCACTTCAAAGTACAATAGATATAAAACATTCAGAAAAAGAACAGTATACCATCTGATAGGATGTACCATCTAATGATATGCTAAATAAAAAACTTAAGTTGGCTACTTTTCTTTTTGGACAGAACATTTCAGTTGGTCTATGGTCCAATCAGTTGTCGACCATTTTCACCTGTGGTTATCATCATGACAACATCTTCACTTACAGCTGAGCTTTATTAACTTTTGAAACAAACTGAAAAAAGATAATACAATGGCACATGACCAACTTCCCATTGCTCAGAAAGGAAGGACTTTTTGAATGGCAAAATATCCTCACACATGGTCTAATAAATTGTAAAATGCAGTATAACTGGTGATTATACTCATCTGATAAACTCTGCTTTATTCTTTGCTACTGTTAGTATTGTGGGTGGTTTTGATTGTATTAATGACTGTTTTTCACTAAAAATATTTATTTAAAGAGTCTGGATATTGCAGTACACAATATGTTGAAATAAAAAACCATTTTCTAGCTACATTGTGGGCACAAAGCCAGCTAGGTGACGTTGGTTCACTCACTCACTCACTCACTCACTCACTCACTCACTCACTCACTCACTCACTCACTCACTCACTATTAGCCCTAGGAAGGAGATAATAGCAAAACACTTCTGAAAAAATCTTGCCAATAAAACTTCAGGTGGTAATCAGGAGACAACACTGACTGGAAGGCAAGCATGCGCATGTGCACATGCGGGCACACACGCAAACACACAGACAAACATTTATACCAAATATATTTTATCCTGCTGCATTTTTTAAGTATTTTCAGAAAGGTAAAACATTTGCAATTAATAACTGTTTTTGAAACTAAACATTGGACAGTAGGGATTGGGGAGAAGGATACACTTTAAAGAGCAAGCTTAAATAAATACACTAATTAGCAAACCAAATGTACCCCTTTAAGATATTAAAACAATAAACTATATAGCATAGACATTTGAAATTACAAGCATAGAATTTATTCTTTTTAAAAAAACTTAACAGTATGTTTGCTTTTACTTATCTACTCTGGATTAAGAATGAATGATAAAAATACATGCTAGGATAACTAAGCATTCTCTATGATTTGTGGAAAAGCATACGGATACAAAGCAGTGAATAAAGCACCTGCATCTGTTATCTGTATGCATTTCATCACAAAGGGAGGCTACACATCTGTAACCCTTTCTGTCTATAAAGCACTAATTTGAAAGATTTTGATTCCATATGGCATTCTTTTACTACTTTTATCTGACTTTCGAACCTCAAAGGGACTGGCATTACATTAAATAGTACACACTTCTATTAATATTTCATAAGCTATGGCATACAGACTCATAATTCCATTCTTTCACTTTTATGCATCAGAGGTTCATAGGCTGTACCTTCTTTTCAAATACTCACCCAACAGGCACAAAATGTAGAAGGTTGCCCAGAGGAGTTTCCTTTCCTTCATGATCTTAAAACTCCACACTAGCATCATTCCCAGGACAGAAGCAGTGTCCAGGACTAACAACTGAATGATTCTCAGAGCTCCCCTCAGATTGAGTTTCTCTGCCGTGTTCTGGAGGCTTCAGTGTTTCTTCTTATTAACTAAAGCTTTTTGAGGTCAGTTCATTGTGGGATAGGATTCCCTCCTAAAAGATGTGTTTGTGGCTCAAGATTGTGAGGTGGAGTTTTCTGAAGTCTGATCTCATAGCTTTATATAGTTCAGAAGAGTCTGTCAACATCATTGTTAAACTTCCCCTCACCCTACAATAGCACATCAGTTAACACTTTCCTGGAAACTTCTTGCTTTTATTATGAACAGAACATAAGCTTTAAAATGTATATATAAGTATGGGAACAAATATTCTGGCTACTTTAACATGAACAGTGCTGGAAAATTTTAAAACCACATTTCTTCTATTAAAAATAGTTTTGATTAGTTGCAATATTTAAACAAAAAGAAATCAAGAACTAATTGGTGAAAGGCACTTTTAAAGTAAGATTTTCTCCATGTGAAGAAAAGCAAACAGAATGAAAGATTTAAAATCAATTAGCTTCAAGCAACCCGGGAGAGAACTTTAGCTAGAAGCATACTGAAATTGAAGGACTTGAGAACAGAATGTTATAAACTAAAGCCAGTGGAGGGAGCCTTACTGGGGCAGGTAGCAGTTTCTTATTGAACAGAAGATTCTTAAGAATCTTCATAAGCTTTATGATATGCAAGAAAGGGCACTTAAAACATTTGGCTAACTATTTTCTAAACGCCTCTGGCATAGCAATTTGCATGCAGGTTTACGGAAGTTTCTTAATGCTATGCACAAAGTATATTTAGAAAATGATTACATTTTTACTGGACTATCAGCATGCATTGATCTATGAAGTGTGCTATCAACTGGGCAGACAGTCATCTTAATTTGAAGCTCACATTTAGAATTTTCACAGTATATTGGCATTCTCACAAAACTATTAGTACCGCTTTATAAAACCCTAGTGAGACCACACTGGAATACAGCAATCAGTTTTGGTCACCATACTACAAAAAAGATGTTGAGACTTTGGAAAAAGTTCAGAGGAGAACAACTAAAATGATCAAAGGTCTGGAGACTAAAACATAAGAAGAACAGTTGCAGGACTTGGGTTTGGCTAGTCTAAAGAAAAGAAGAAATAGGGGTGACATGATAGCAGTATTCCAGTATTTGAGGGGCTGCCACAAAGAAGAGGGAGTCAAACTATTCTCTAAAGCACCAGAGGGCAGGACAAGAAACAATGGTTAGAAACAGACCAAAAAGAGAAGCAACCTGGAATTAAGGAGAAACTTCCTAACAGTGAGAACTATTAACCAGTGGAACAGCTTGCCTTCAGAAATCATGGACACTCCATCACTGGAGGTTTTTAAGAAGAGACTAGATAGTCACTTGTCTGAAATGGTAAAGGTTCTCCTGCTTGATCGGGGGCTGGACTAGAAGACCTCCAAGGTCCCTTCCAGCTCTTATCTTGAGGAGTCTTGCACATTCATAAAGTTTTGCCATGTGGGCAAGAATAGTCACCCCCCCAAAAAAATAGCAGTCTTTTATCAGACATTTCTTGTCATCTTCTATAGTTCCTTAGGACAGAATCGTCCCAGCTATCACACTTTTTAATATATATATTTCATACCCTTATTCCTACTACTACAGGATTGCTTCAGTGGTAAGATATGTATTTTTGAGTGTCTTACAACGAAATTAATATAGTAGTGGAGTGAAATTGGAACAGACCAATCTACATATAGAGATGCTGGGCTAGTTAGCCATAATAGTTACTATCTATTCTTTTTTCTATTTACTGAATTAGAGTCACATTAAGGGATCACTGTTTTGATATTATTCCCATTGAATGTCAGATTAGACTCCAAAACACCCACACAAAGAAGCCATCTTATAGTAGATCAACTGGTCATCTGATGGATGACCTCTCTCAAAAGAGAATGTGCAACCTTGTGTGGGTTTTGATACAACAGTAATGCCCAATTTTTGCTTCTTTTTTCTTGCAAGTCAGAATTAAACATTTTAAAAGCAAGCTTGATCTGAGTTTTGGGCAGAACAGAGTTTTCAAAATTTGAATGATATGCCGGATAGATGGGATTCCATTATTTCTTGAGGAACTGAGACCCAATGTGGGAAAGGACAGGGTCACAATAAATATACATTTTTGTAGTTCTGTCCATTTAATTTCATTCTAAGAGTAAAGTGGTCCAACCACAGATGAGACAGTTGTTTTCAATCTGCATATACTACAACAAGCAGTTTTATGTTCCTTGCATTCTTTTATATATTCACCCAAACACAACATGTTCAAAATATACAAAGTGCTCATTTTTCTTTTCTCCTTGCTTTTAAACTCCAATTGAGTCTCATTCTCAGCAGTAAACACATAAGCAGTGACTATAACAAAATGCATGTTTTCTGAGTTCATTTCCACTCCAGAAAGCTTTCAAAATGAATATTATTGAAAGGGATGTAATATTATATAAGTATTGCAATGTTCCAGTCTTTCAACTGATGCTGAAGAAGAATTGAATAATAAAGAAAAAATGATAATATTTCAAGAAACTATGTCAACAAATCAGCTATCACATGTTAAAACTTTTTAATTATATCCATATTTTTCTTAAGAAATCTCATCTGCTTGATTAAAATTTAGATACTATATTTATGCTAAAATGGGTGATTTTTTCAGTATTGAAAATTGTAATGATCATCTGCACATACCTTCCTTACGTTGAGAACATATTTTGCAAAAATAAAATTCTTCTCCCAAACATTTATATCTGAAATATATATTTCCTTATTTCAGGTATAGTGATAGGAAAGAATTTGGAGGTATTTCTCTTCCTTTTTAATGTAAGTTCAACATACAAATACATTTTTGAAACATATTAAAAGTAATTTTGCATATTCTATCTTTCTGTTTTATGTTGATAAAAATTGAGTGGAGTATTTTTAGCCAATTTGGTCCAGTTCTGCTGAACCTTTTTTAAAATTTCATCTTCAGAGGTTCCATAGGTTAAAGGAACAGCTCATAATTTCCAGCAACAGGATTGGACAGGTAATCTTTATACACTTGCTATATGTGCCCCTGCTGGCTGCTTTCTCCTTAGCCATGAGCCCTGTGGGTAAATATGATCTGGTGCAGCTTTAGAACAAGTCTAGGGCAGTTCACTGCTAGACAAGATTCAGGCTAAGAGGCCAGCTGTGGGCCAGCCAATCTGGAGGAGAAGGATGAGCCAAGACAAGAAGTAGTTGTTGCTATTGGAACCTATGGCTTGATCTAATTCAGATAACACCCCTGGATAAAAGCCATTCAGCTAGGCTTTTGTCGCTAGATTTAAAAGGTCGATAAATTTAAAAGGTCAAAGCTGGAATGTCCGTATAGAAGTGACTAAGGAGGGTCATTGCTCATTCATTCTCTACCCAAAAAAAGTTTCACATGCTGACATTTTGAGAGCACCGCCAGTGTTAATACCTTGCAAGGAAATGAAATGCAATGCAATGACAAGTTAATGTGATCTTTTTATGGAAGGAAGAAATACCTAGGATTTTTCTTTTAAAACTATGGATGGCATATGTGAAGATGGTTTTGATTTTCCAGACTTTAAAAAAATGTTTGACATGAAAAAGACATTGATTTTTCTGCAAGTTTATTGGAGAACATTACTTGGTACTATAAATTTCTGTCAAGTTTTTCATTCTTGCTATAGTGGAAATGTAGAATGTTAGACACCTTGGATCCTGTTGAGTAGAAAATTAAATTTGACTGCAGCTATCATGAAAAAAATTAATGCTCTGGAGTAATCCTATTTAAAACGGTTGGAAAACTTTCCTTGGAAAATCTGGGTAGAAAATAGGATTAATGCTTTCAATCAAGTAGTGTGTAATGATATCTTTATAATGTTTGAAGGAGTATAAAAGGAATACTTTATAACTTGTATAAAACAGTCAAAAATACAATTTATGTATCTCTTAAATTTATTGTTTGGCCCTGATACTCTCTTGGCTTCCAACATTTCTAAAGCATTCTGTATGAGAATGCCTTTTCAAAGACCAAACCAATATTGTTCTGCAAAAATTAAAACTCTACATCAAGAAATATAGACAAGAAATGTTCAAGAGATATGGAATAGTGAGTTGGAATATCTTATGTTGCAAATCAATGACATCAGGGTTTGTTTGTTTTTTTAGAAAAGTTAGGTTTTACATGATTTCAAAATTAATTTCATACTGGAAAAAATACTATACTGGATTCAAAAGGTTGGCTCATTAATTTAATTAATTAATTTTAATTTATCAACTTCCAGCTTTTGAACTAGATTAGTTGATAGGCAAAATTAGACAATATAATTCCCTATTGCATTCAGTAATAAAATTTGAATAGTAATGATGTTTATATACAAATATATAATTACTTTTTTACAATGAAGAACATGATGAAATTTTGAAATCTTGGATACTTTAAAAAAAATTCTTTAATTCTTTCCCAACATCCCCTTTAGTTAATATTGCTTACAGAAATTCTTTTATACAGTTATAGTTTATATATGTTTGTTCTTATGTGTTATCAGCTGTAGAGCTGGCTTTTCATTAGAATAAAGGAGTAACTGTCGATTTACTGGGTGACCTGTAACAATTGATAGGATTGAAACATATATCCTTCCAGAATATACTATTTTTATCTTATGTGATAATGTTTTTTGAGAAACATGTACAAACCCAGGACTAATACCAATAGATTTGCATACTAAGACATTCTGTTGATGCTTTAGTAATGTAACAAGTTCACAACTGAGCTGAAAATATTTTTCAAATGCCATCAGAGTACGTAAACTAAATATTTTTGATATTTTTTAAATGATTCATTATTGATTTTTATTTTATATATACTTCAAATTTAATATCCTGTCTTTTTACTGGATGACATTACAGAATAATAAAAATTCCCAATAACAACCTCAAACCCTGCTCAGATAATGATACTATGCCAGCTGGAAAATGCTGATCTCATTTGTTTTATCAAACTGATGCAAAGGGAAAACTTGCCACAATAACCAATTGACTCTACTGCAATGGAATTAAAAAAAGACTATGGTGTTTCAAATTACTATCTAACCTAAGACATCCAATTCATAAAGAATGTAATTTCAGACAAAGTACACAGAACAAAGTCATCTGATAAAG